ACATGTAAATGTATTTTCTATGTATGTCTATTATATACATGTACATGTACATGTATATTCATGTATGTCTATACATGTACATGTAAATGTATTTTCATGTATGTCTATTATATACATGTACGTGTACATGTTTATTTATGTATGTCTATACATGTACATGTACATCATACATGTTTATTCATGTATGTCTATACATGTACATGTACGTGTTCATTCATGTATGTCTATACATATACATGTACATGTTTATTCATGTATGTCTATACATGTACATGTACGTGTATATTCATATATGTCTATACATGTACATGTACATGTTTATTCATGTATGTCTATACATGTACATGTACGTGTTCATTCATGTATGTCTATACATATACATGTACATGTTTATTCATGTATGTCTATACATGTACATGTACATGTATATTCATATATGTCTATACATGTACATGTACAAGTTTATTCATGTATGTCTATACATATACATGTACATGTTTATTCGTGTATGTCTATACATGTACATGTACAAGTTCATTCGTGTATGTTTATACATGTACGTGTATTTACTATGTTACTAAGTCTACATCTATATGTATGCATATTTTAATGTCACGGCAAAATGTATGAATGTATATGTATGTAAATCTAGATATATATTATGCAGCTATATCTTTATGCAACTACCTCTCCCCCTCTCTAGCCTACCTATCTCCCCCCCCCCTTCTCTCTCTCCCTCCCTATCTCTCTACCTATATATATATATATATATCCCCTCTCTTTCTTCCATCACATTCACTCGCCCACCATGCAGCGCGCACCTTGCATCCCCACTGATGATTATGATGATGCTGATGATTATGATGATGCTGATGATTATGATGATGCTGATGATTATGATGATGCTGATGATTATGAATGATGCTGCTGATGATTATGATGATGCTGCTGCTGCTGATTATGATGCTGATGATTATGATGATGCTGATGATTATGATGATGCTGATGATTATGATGATGCTGATGATTATGATGATGCTGATGATTATGATGATGCTGATGATTATGATGATGCTGCAGCAGCAGCAGCATCATCATCAGCAGCAGCATCATCAGCAGCATCATCATAATCAGCAGCATCAGCAGCAGCAGCAGCAGCAGCATCATCATCATAATCATCAGCATCATAATCAGCAGCATCATCATAATCAGCAACAGCATCATCATAATCAGCAGCAGCATCAGCAGCAGCAGCAGCAGCAGCAGCATCATCATAATCAGCAGCATCATCATAATCAGCAGCATCATCAGCAGCAGCAGCAGCAGCATCATCATAATCAGCAGCAGCATCAGCAGCAGCAGCATCATCATAATCAGCAGCATCATCATAATCAGCAGCATCATCAGCAGCAGCAGCATCATCATCATCATCAGCAGCATCATAATCAGCAGCAGCAACATCAGCATCAGCAGCATCATCATAATCAGCAGCATCAGCAGCATCATAATCAGCAGCAGCAGCAGCATCATCATCAGCAGCAGTATCAGCAGCAGCAGCAGCAGCAGCAGCATAATCAGCAGCATCATCATAATCATCATCATCAGCAGCAGCATCATCATCATCAGCATCAGCATCACATTGTGAGCGCGGATAATCAGTAACACCGACACCTATCATACCTTTCTTCACAATATCATCGTGCAGCGAAGCTTTCACGATCAGCCTCACAATAAGCTATTGACCCCCGCATATATATATATATATATATAGGTGGGTGCCTGCGTGCCCCGGCGAGTGTGTGAATGGATGTATCTACGTGCATGGGTGGATACATCGGTTCTGTGTTCGCGTTTGTGTGAATGAAAATGTGTGTGTGTGTGTGTGTGTGTGTGTGTGTGTTGGTGTGGTGTGTTTGTGTGTGGTGTGGTTGTGTGTGTGTGTTTGTGTGTGTGTTGTGTTTGTGGTTCAGTGTGTTGTTGGTGTGTGTGTTGTTGTTGTGTGTGTGTTGTGTGTGTGTTTGTTTGTGTTGTGTGTGTGTGTGGTGGTGTGTGTGTGTGTTTGTGTGTTCGTGGTGTGGGTGTGGTTTGTGGTGTGTGTGTCGTGCGGGCGGGCGGCTGTGGGGCGCCGCGCGCGTGTGTGTGATGGTTTGTGGTGTTCGGTGTGTGGTGGGGTTGTGTGTGTGTGTGTGGGTGGTGTGCGTCTGTGGAGTGGCGTGCGGCGGGCGTGGTGGGTTGCGCGCAGTTTGTGTGTGGTGCGTGCGTGCGTGTGTGTGTGTGCCGTGCGGGCGGGGCGTGCGTGTGCGCGCGCGGTGTTGTGTGTTTGTGTGATTCGTGTGTTGTGTGCCCTGTGGTGTGTGTGCGCGCGTCGCAGGTGTAGGTGTTGTGTGTGTGTGTGGTGCGCGCGCGGCCGTGTGTGTTTGTGTGTGTTGTGGTGTGTTGTGTGCCTCGGTGTTGTTTGTGTTTCGTTGTGTTTTGTGTGCCCGTGTGTGTTGTGGCGCGCGCGTGTAGGGTGTGTACGTTGGTGTCTATGCGTGAACGGGTGAGATGCTGAGAAGCAAGTAAACTTCTGGAGACAGACGGCAACACACACGTACTGCACGCGAGAGAGATTGGGAGAGGGTGGGGGGTTGGAAAGAGAGAGAGAGAAGAGAGAGAGCAGTACAGCGCGGATGTAAGCAGAGAAGAAGAAGAGAGAGAGCAGAGAGAGAGAGAGAGAGAGAGGAGTAGATGCGAGCGAGAGACGAGAGGAGAGAGAGAGAGACGAGGAGAGAGAGAAGAGTAGAGATGACGAGAGAGAGCAGAGAGAGATGGAGAGAGGAGAGAAGAGAGAGAGGAAAGGAGATGAGAGAGAGAGAGGTAAGAGGAGATGAGAGAGAGAATTTCTCGCGCACGAGACTAAACATTGTGGCGAAGACGTTGGAAAAATGTATGAATGTTGGAAGAATGCGCGTGGTTTGTTTATTCCAAAAGTAGCATGTATATTAATATAATATATAATTTAAAGAAAAGAGAGAGGGAGGAGAGGAAAGGAGAAGGTGGTTACAATAGACCAAGAATACTTCTCGCAACGCTTTTCACGGGTATTGGGCTGCTAATGAAGATTAAACGTTTATTGACGAATGAATCGAATCAATCCACGTTGTTTTATTTGATAGAGGAGATATATCTCTATTGCTAAAGTGCAGAAAAAAATCAATGAAATTTCAGCCTAATTTATTAGTTTACGCACAGCAAATTTTGGATATTTTTATGTAAAGAATGGTATTTTGATATTCCAATTAACCAGAAAGAGTGAGATAACAACATTTCGTCGATGTATTATTACTACGTGATAATGGTTATAACTTTACAATCCACATATCCGCAAATCCACATATATCTACATAATATGAATTCGCTTCCCACACGTATCAATAGGGGAGACGGCGAAAGGTGAGCGGGAGGTGAGGGAGGAGGGGGAGAGCCGCTCAAGAGGGACACCGCGGTGTCAGTAACCCTCCCCTCACCCACGCACTCGCACACTGTGCGGACCTATGACTCATGGATTGTAAAACCTAAAAATATATAACCTGTGCTAGATGGTAAAACGTCAGTGTCCCATCGCTGTCGTCGAAACATCGCTGCTTGTAGAATCTGTAAACACATGACATTGTCCGTCGCTACTGCTACTGCGCGCTAGCTGCTGGCTGCTGCGCTGCTGCTACTGCTGGCTGCTGCGTGCTAGCTGTGCTGCGGCTCGCTACTGTTGCTGGCGACTGTGATGCTGCTCTGCTACCTGGCACTTGCTGCTACCTGCTAGCTACTCGCGCACTGCTACTGGCACTTGCTACTGGTGCTGCTAAACTGCTACTGGCGCTGACGCTGCGGCTGGTGATCGCTGCTGCTGCGCTGTTGTTGCTGTTGCTGCTACTCGCTCTTTGCTGCGGCTGTGTGCTGCTGCTGCACGCGCGCTTGCTGTTGCTGCTGCTGCGTCTGCTTAGCCTGCTACTGCTGGTGAAGTTAGCTGCTGCTGCTACTAGCCTGCTGCGCTACTGCGCTGCCTCGCTGCACATGCTGCTGCTGGCGGCTGTGATGCTGATCTGGCCGCTGTGCTGCGCTTGCCTGATGTTGCGCTGTTGCTCTAATTGCTGCTCGCTGCGCTGCGCTCGGCTGTGAGCTGCTGGCTGCACTGCGTGCTCGCTTTGCATTGCTGCTTGCTGCTAACTGCTGCTGCTACATCGCCTGCTGCTGTTGCTGCTAAAGCTGCTACCGCGCTACTGCTGCGACCTACTGTCTGTCGTCTGTCCTGCGTCTGTCTGTCTGGTCTGTCTGTGCTGCGTCGGCGTGCTACGTTTCTCCAGCTCCTCCCTCGGCGACGTCGGCGGCGCAAGACAAGAGCGGGCGCATTTCAAAGCTCGACCGCGCCGACACACACACCTGCCTCCGTCTGCTAGCTGCTAGCTGGCCTCTCTTTATGTGTCCTGCCTCTCTGTCCTCCTCCTCCCCTGCCTCCTTCCGCTGCCGCCCGTCTGCTGTCTGCTGCTGGCTGCGCTCTCGCCGTGCTGCTCTGCCGCTGTCACATCAGACAACCCACGTACCGCTTCCCTTTCCATGTTCGATATTTCGCGCTCGGAAATATATTCCCGGCGGCCGGAAATTACTGTCGCGTCCGCTCTGCTAAGATCGCTGCTTCACCCCCGGGGGTGACGTCGGCTGACGCTCGGGCGTGGACGTCACTGTCAGCGCGGGAAAAGTGCTGTCGTTGTCGGCCACCAGGTGTCGCCACTGGGTGGATATGTGGATTCGGCGCGAATGCAATAGTTCCGATTCGAAGTGCTTTTCGTTCGATAAATTCGATGGCTGTGATTGGTTGGCGTTGTTGTGAGGTCACCTGGCGGTTTTTCGTCTTTGATCTCCCCGAAGCACGGCTGTCGATGTTGAATATGAAATCCTTGAATTAGAAAACGTCTTTGCTCTTGCATTATTATATACAGTACCTGCTAAATTTGCTGCCATTACTGAGCTTACGCATATATGTCCACAATAATGACTTCTGCTGTCTTTCTAATATATATATAATATATTATATATATATTATTATATATATGGGCTAGGAATATATACATATATATATAGGTAAATATATTATAAACCCACCGTAATTGCTGCTATTTCTTAGCATACATATGTATAAGCCCACAATAATTGTTTTCCACTGCCTAGCTTACGTATTATTATAAACCAAGAATAAATTGCCCGCCATTTCTTAGCCTAAATAGAGAGAAATCCACTTTATATTCGCTTTCATTTCAGCGACTACTTACATAAAATTCGCCGTGCATTTGCCATTCGCTAAAAATCATATAACGTAATGCAGAGCGAGAAGGGGAAGGGGAAGGGCAGGGGAGGGAAGGGGGAGCGAGTGGAGTGTGTGTGAGGGAACGGGTGGTAGGTGGTAGGTGGAAAGGTGGTGTGTTTGGGTGTAGGGGATGGGGGAATGGTAAAGGGAGGGTGATGGGTTTTTGGGTAGGTGATGGGCAGGATGTAGGGGGTATGGTTTGTGTGAGGGGATGGGGGATGCGTAGGGGGTGATAGTTTTGGTGATGATGTGTTTTTTGTAGGGTGGATGGGGATGTAGGGGGGTGGGTTGGGTTTGTGTAGGGTGATGGGGGATGTAGGAGGTGATGTGTTTTTGTGTAGGGATGGGGATGAGGGGGCGGGGTGATGTGTTTTGGTGGAGGGGTGATGGGGATGGAGGTGGTGGATGTTGGTTTTTTGGGGGTAGGGGAGTGATGGGGGGATGGTGAGGGTGGTGGATTGGTTATTGTGTAGGGGATGATTGGGGGAAGGAGGCGTAAGGCGTGCTTGTGGTTTTTGTGGTAGGGTGAGGGGGGTGATGTGAGGGCTGGCTGTTGTGGTTTTGGTGGTAGGGGTGATGGCGGGATGGAAGGAGGGTCTGGATTGGTTTTGGTGGTAGGGGATGGGGGGGGGGATGGAGGTAAGGTGATGTGGTTTCTTGTGGTAGGGGTGAGGGGAGGATGGAAGGATGGTTTGGTTTATGTGGTAGGTATGGCGGGATGGTAGGGTGTCGTTGTGGTTTTTAGTGTAGGGGTGATGGCGGATGGTAGGCGAGGGAGTGGTTTTTGTGGTAGGGATGGGATGGTAGGGGGTTGTGGTCTATTTTATTTTTTTTTTTTTTGTTTTTTGGTGTGTAGGGGTGATGAGGGAGAAGGAAGTGAGTGGGGTGGGTTGTGGGTTTTTAGTGGTAGGGGTGATGGGAGAGGATGGAGGGAGGGTGATGTGGTTTTGGTGTAGGGAAAATGATGGGGATGTAGGCGAAGGTGAAGTGTGGTTTGTGGTATGGGGTGATGGCGGGATGTAGGAAGGGGATTGGTTTTTGGTGCGGGGGATGGGGGGCTGGAGGTGAGGTGTGATGTTGTTTTTGTGTAGGGTGATGGGGGGGGGTGGGGATGGTAGTGAGGTAGGATTGGTTTTTGGTGGTAGGGGTGATGGGGGGTGATGGTAGGGTGGGATGTGTTTTGTTGTAGTGGTGATGGGGCGATGTAAGGAGGTGGATTGGTTTGGTAGGGGTATGGGGATGTAGGTCGTAGGGTGGAGTATTGGTTTGGTAGGGTGAGGGGGGAATGGTAGGGAGGGGTTGTGGTTTTTGGTGTAAGGGTGATGGAGCTGGTAGGAGGGTGAGTGTGGTTTTATTGGTGTAGGGTGAGGGGGATGTAGGGAGGTGGATGTGGTTATTTTGTCGGTAGGGGTGACTGGGGGGGAGTAGGGTGGTGGATGTTTGGTCGGTTGGGGTGATGGGGGTGGATGGAGGGAGGGTGGATGTGGTTTTTGGTGGTAGGGGTGATGGGGGGATGGTAGGGTGGTTGTGTGTTGTTTGGTGGTAGGTGATGCATCGGGGGGATGGTAGGCGTGGGTGGAATGTGGTTTTGGTGGAGGCGGGTGATGCGGGGGGGTGTAAGGGAGGTGGATGGGTTTGCTTTGTGTAGGGTGAGGGGAGGTACGAGGGTGTGTGGTTCTTTTGGTGTAGGGTGATGGGGGGGAATGGTAGGTGAGGGTGGATGTGTTCCTTTGGTGTTAGGAGGTGATGCGGACTGGTAGGCGTGGTGGAATGTGTTTTGTGGTAGGGGTGAGGGGGAGTGTAGCGAGGTGGATTGTTTGGTGTAGGGTGAGGGGATAGGAAGGAGGGTGTGATGTGTTTTGGTGGTAAGGGTGATGGGGGATGTAGGGTGGTGGGATGTTGTTGTGGAGAGGGTGATGGAGGGTAGGGTGGGTTGTTGTGGTTTTTGTGGTAGGGGATGGGGGGGATGGTAGGAGGGCGTTGGATTGTGGTTGTGGTGGTAGGGGTGATGTGGGGAGGTAGGTGAAGGGATGTGGTTTTGGTGGTAGGATTGGGCGTGGTAGGTGGGTGGTGATGTTTTGGGTCAGGGGTGAGGGGGTTGGTAGGGGTGGTGATGTGTTTTGGTGGTAGGGGTGATGGGGGGATGGTAGGGAGGGTGGTTGTGGTTTTTGGTGGTAGGGGTGATGGGGGGATGGTAGGGAGGGTGGATGTGGTTTTTGGTGGTAGGGTGATGGGGGGATGGTAGGGTGGGTGAGTCGTGGTTATTTTGTTTGGTTGTGGTAGGGTATTGGGGCGATTGGTAGGAGGTGGATGTGTTGTTGTGGTAGGGGTGATGGGGCGGAGGTAGGAGGGAGAGGTGGATGGTTTTATGTGGTTCAGGGTGATGGGGATGGAGGGAGGGTGCGAGTGGTTTGCGCGGGGTTGTGGTAGGGGGAGGGGAGGTAGCGGAGGGTGGTTG